TCTGAGTCATTCAGAGCTTCATTTGGTGTGCGGATCATCTCTTTATCTTTCAAAGTCTTGATTCTACCAAGCTTTCAAGTTTTAAAGGTCCATGCTGGCTTGAACCCCAGAATTGCAGCTTGTGGCTATATTTGTTTCTTTCTTTTCTGGGGTCCAAGCAGCAACTGCGGCTAAGCCCTCTTGTTTTTGCCCATATTGATCTTTTCTCCTTCTTCTTATTTTTCTCTGCTAAAAGTGTTTGTGCAGCAAAAACTCACCAAAATTGGCAGATGGTTCACAAATTACACCCACTACTCAGGCACAAAAATAGATACCCATTGATTGCAAGGTGGCACTGTAACAATTAAATTTATTTTTTTACAATTATCTCGAGAAGGGCTTTTCTTTCACAACATTAATCTCTCCATCTTTGGTCCAATCGTCTTATGCTCTAAAAACTTTTTCTTAATTTTCTCTAGATAATACTTTTTTCAATATGTCAATCTCTTTTGAAGTTATACATTTTACATAAATACATCAAAATGGCAAAAGCAATTGTAACCAAACTTGGTACACATACGCAGATGCTTAGCCCAAGCTTTGCTAACCAGTCTTGGAATATTCTGTCACTAGAGGGGGCCACAAAAAGGAAAGAAAGGTTATATCTCATAATCAGCTACAGAGATTCGTACAAAATGTGGTTTACACCATCCAGGGTCTAGACTCAGTCGATGCATAAAATTTGGTGATGACTGCTTAAAGATGGTGTGGCTTATTACCAGTGTTGGGAACGTTACTTTAAAACAGTAATGCAAACACAGGTATGGTGAAAAAAGAGAGAGCCTCTGAACTTGTTGGGGGGTCCGGGGGCATGCCCCCCCGGAAGAAAAGTTTGACTATTTTAAAGTTAAAATACATCAATCTGGTGCACTTTGAGTGCAAATTTAGGAGGCTAGATATATGAAGAACTTCGTGTTTCTGTAAACAATTTTGGCCACAGTAAGCTAAATATCTAAAATTTGCATTAACCAAGCTAAAAAGGCCAGAGAATGTCATGAGCAAAAGTCCCGAGTTTGCTTAACAAAGTGACAGTGTTAAAAAAAAAAACAAAACCAATATCTGGCTATATGTTAATAGGTCAGTATTAATACTTTATTGTTCCAAGTTTTCTATTTCCACTCTGGTTTTAAAACAGTTTCTAACAGAGAGATGGATTATAACCACACTAAACACATATCCTAATGATGATTTTAGCTGCATTTTAATGGTGTAAACTTCATTTTATCCTCAGAGTGACTGGAAACTGGAAATAAAAACTAAAGAAATAACCCACATTGTTAATTAGCTCCCGTGATTATAAATATAACATTTCAATCAGATAGACCTCATCAGTCATTAACTACTTTTACACTCTTTGGTTCGGTAGCAGAAACAGTCTGGAATTATTTTAAAGTTCTATTACAGTATGTGATATTAAGAATGATTTCATCCTGTCATCAAACTAAATAGCGAAAAATACTCTGTACTTAAGTCATATTAATTCTTAAATGTGCCTTAGCCTACTTTTAATATTTGTAAATTATTTCTAGTCTCTACATCTGTTAAATCAGACAAGCTGATGTTCGCAAAATTATTGACAAAGATTTTTTATCTGCTTTATATTTATATTATATATGTAGCAAACCCATTTTGTTTTTTGTGCTTGCTGTTTCTCGTTTTGTCCACCAGAGGGCAGCTTGCATTGTTTGCAGGTCAATTTTGAAAAACAAATACCTGCTTTAGATGCATTTTTTTACATGATTTCTTTAAATATAAATTACACGATTTGTGTTGCTATTAAGAAGATGTAATTTCATTTGCTTTTATATGTATATTTTGCCCGTTTTGGAGATAATGGTTACATTTTTAAACAGTGAGATTTTATTTTGAAGCGCATTACTTCCTACTTCCTTCCTGTGTTGTATTGACGAACAAAACAAAGTAGTGATGGGCAGATGAAGCTTCATGAAGCATTGAAGCTTTTCATCAAATTGGTTCACTCAAGGGCAAAGCTTCTTGATGCTTCATTTGCTCTACTAAGCCATCTACTGGACAAAAAAAGCTATTACACTTAGTGGTTTGTATATATAGATCTGAACCACTTCCTGAACCAGTCACGTGGTACAGCCGGCCAGCGAAGCTTCGGACGTCACCAATGACGTCACTCTTCTGAAACGACACAAGCCTCAATACGCGCATCGCGGAAACACTTCCTGGATTACTCGACACATGCTTCGAAGCCTCGGCACAGCAAGTCACATCACTAAAACAAAGCCACTTGACTACGGAATGAATGAGCTAAAGGTAAAACGGTAAAAGTTTAAGGTAAACAAAGGAAAATAAAGCGGCAACGGCAACTTAATGATAAAAACGTTGAAGGCTGAGTGTATTTTGGCAACCCCCCGAGGAGGCATAAGGTTGGTGTGTGTTGTGCCTGTTGTGATTATTTGATTACTTGATGATTTGTGTCGAAAAGTATGCTAACTCTTTTGCCCGCCTGTTTGGTGAATTGGCGGTGTATTGCTTGGTATAATGTTGAGTTGTCTGAGAAAGTACTGTGATCATTTACCATTTATTATGGACAGAAGTGGAAACAGAAATGTGATTGCTTTGTTTTCTTTGTTTTGTCCGTTCTCACGTTGGTTTATGGAGCTGGTTTTGTGGAACAGCAATAAATGTTAAAACCATCAGTCGAGTTTCTTACCATCTTTCGTAGGGTATGCTACAATATATATATTATATATTATATTTACTTATTTTATTCTGTTGTAGCCTATGGTTACAGGTTGTTGTTACTTAGTTGAATATAACTGTTTTGCTGTCACTGAAACAGAAGTTTTTTTTAACCATTTCATCTCATGTGAGGGTGAGTTTATGATGATGATGTCACTCCTAATTAACCATTCCGCCTCTCCCACATGAATGCGCTCATTGCTGGAAAACACAGAGATGACAACCAGCTTTGTAGTACTGGTTATCCTGGATAGGCTCTGTGAAGCCAGGGGCCTGTATCACGAAGCGAGATCAACCTTTCCTGGGTTACCCAGTCCTATCCTGAGTTGACTAACCCTAACAATGGCAAACAGGATAATCGGTATCACGACGCTGGATATCAACTTGGTAACTCAACCCAGGGTTGCTTTATCAAGAGCTGTGAACACGCACGCAGCGGACCAATCACAATCATGAGAGAAGTGCAGCGTCACTGAGCGTTAACCTAGTCCCCAATCTGCATGTCTTTGGGCTGTGGGAAGAAGCCGGAGTGCCCGGAGAGAACCCACGCTGACACGGGGAGAACATGCAAACTCTGCACAGAAGGGCTCCCACACCCGGGATCGAACCGGCAACCGTCTTGCTGTGAGGCGAGAGTGCTAACCACCACACCACCATGCCGCCCCTTATCAAAGAAATTCCCCTGTCAAAACATCAATGAAATCACATGATAGAGAAGAAAAAAAATAGAAATAGAGGAGGAGAGAGGGAAAAATCAAGACAAAACAAGGTAGCAAATAAAATTGTGTTAAATTATTGTAGGTTAAATTACTCATCACTGGTTCAAGTAGCTACAGTACCTGTACCTGTACATCTGACACTGATCACACCCTTGAATCCCATGAAATCAATGCTGCGCAGATGAATTGCGTGTATTACAATTATCGTCTAACATCATTGCGTCTGATAAATTGGTCTTCTTTGTCATAACGTTATATATGCTACAATAAAGCTTAAAGCTGACGCCACAATTAAATCATATCAACACCAAATTGATAGTCTGAATAAAATCATCCTGATATTGAGCTGTGTTAGAAATTAACAGCTGCGCAAAAATATACCTAGTCTCCCTCTTTAAAAAACAAAAAGGAAAATCCCTCAAACACCATGAAGTGTAGACATGATAGGCTACTTTCCACATTTCCAGCAGCAAAGCTGTCAATTAGGCCCATTATCTTTAACAGGGATCATTTCCTCCAACAAAACAAAATGTTGGCACTAATTAATGGTGCTATTAAGTGTCCGCAAATGATCAGTTTCTTTCTTATGAAGGGGTGGGATGAAATTTCGACTTCTTTCCACTCCTTTTTGAACAATCTTTTCATTGTCTGTTGTTGTTGCTTTCTTTTCTTTTTTAATGTTCAAAATAAACTTTCAAATCAAAATCAATCAAATGAATTAAACTTCCCGTCATGACTGGGCTGCATTTCTGTCAGCGGAGTCATTTTTTTCCGAACAGCTGATTGGCCAGTGGGTGGTGCGTTTTATAGGATCAGATTCAACCCTGAACTTACCCTGCTCCGGAGCAGGATAGCCGTTCAGAGTAAGTTACCATGGTGATCTACCCCGATAAGAACTGAACCCAGGGTTAACCCTGAAGTTACCTCGCTAAGACATTAATCCTGCTTCATGATACAGGCCCCAGCTCACCTAAAGAAAGCCTGGCTATGTTAAATGTGCATTGTAGTACAGGCCGACCAGGGAAGAGCGAGTATCAGAGCGGAGACAGTGGAGTGATGGACCGTGGGAGAGAGAAAGGCAGGCAAGCAGTGACACACATCCTGCGACTGGAGTTGCTTAACCTGCGATAGCTGTTTTACTTTAACCTCCCCTTCCTCAATGCAGTTCCATCATGTACTGTGACAAAAATAGGATTTATTATGAATCGTTAAGGGCATCTGTCAGACCCCCCCCATCCAAAAAAGAAAACTCCTCAGATCTATGCGAATCACACAAGTCATTCAAGTTCCCGTCAAAAAAGCAAGAATCGCCAAAAAGCGATCCCTGTTAAAAAAGTATATAGCCTAGTTATAGTTACTCGTTACTTTCCCCAAAAAGTAACTGAGTTAGTAACTGAGTTACTGCACTATAAAAGTAACTAATTACCTGGAAAAGTAACCAAGTGTTACTTTTTTATAAAATGCTCAAATATGTTCAATGCTTGGAGACCCCCTTAATGGAAGAAAGAATAAATGAACGAATGAAAGAAGTTGCATATAAGAGCCATTTTACTTTCATATTAACAGTGGTGGTATGCTGAACAAGATCTGAATGATGAGTACATATGTCACACAGAATCTGAATCTGCACACTGCCTTTGAATCATCCCCATTGTAGTTGAATCTTTTAATCCTCACTCTTTCTACAAATCTTTATTGTATTCTTTCCATATATTTGATGGGTCGGTGCATCAAAAAAAAAAAAAATTATGTGAATGTTAGCTTACACTGGTGCTCAGTCAAGCAGTGAGACAATGGATTAATGTTAGCTAGTTGTAGAGATAACGTTATTCCCATCACGGCTTATTATATTAAATCTAAATTTCAAAAATATTTCTCATTCCAAGCTTCAAAAAATCATAATAAATCACCAGAATGCCCTACAGAGCTGAGAATTTTTTCAGCACACCCATTGAATTGTGACAAAAGTTTGTCTTACTGCAGCCTAAAGTCAATTCAGAAGTATGTCAGTCTATATTCATAAGAATATGCCCACAGTGATATTCAATACCTTGTTGTAATTTGTACTGTGTGCACAACATTTTTTCATCAAATGTTACCAAAATCTTTGACAGTACACCTAAAACAGCAGAATGATGGGACATTTTTTCAGACTTTAGTGCTTTAAGCCTAAAATGACAAAAAAACCCAACAGTTTTGCATATGTGATATTATTGCCTCAAGTTCATGAGAAACCAGCTGATTGATGTGTGATTTTTTTCAGAATTGTATCCCCAATGCCTAACAGTTGTGAATATTTTAAGTTTTGTGACCTCCCTTTCTCTGCCTTTTTTTCCTGGGGCTGATTTGGCTTCCTGGCCTTGGAGCTGGTGGGCAGGGTTGAAGAGGTTATCAGGAAACTAACTGCACCTAGGTAGATCTCCTGTTTCTGCCCATCTGTTGTGAATTCTTGTGGTTTAGAAGTTGACATGCTTTATCCTGTGCTACTTTTCCAAATGAAAATGTCCAATACCCTGTGACAAATCTGAAATGACCTCCCCCCCCAACAAATGTACATCTAGTTGCCCTTTGCAGGACATACATAGGACAAGATAACATTCATCATATTCTTAATAATGGGAGGTTGTGGGTGGAGCATGTGCGACAGATAGTGGGCCACGACCATCTCCCAGGCATCAATCAGATGAACATTCAGTCCTTTGAACATGAGTCTGAGCACCTTGTTGAACCGCAGTGAGAACCAGTCACTTTTTGTTTGTGCAAAATTAAGCGTCAGGCCTTGCGGGTTCCCAGTCCGGATGATGACCACTGTGCCGGGAGCCCTGTCCAGCAGCTGCACCACCGCCCTGCGGATGCTCTGCAGCCTCCGGATGTAGAGCTCCATGGGATAAGGGCCAAAGTGAGCCCAGACACAAAAAAGTACAACAGTATTGGTGCCTCCAATTAAACCATCTATTTCATTAGCAATGTAACGAAGCTCCCTGGTTGGGACAGTGACAATACGGATAGGAGGACCATGGAAGCGGTATGTTACCCTGATATTGTTTGCATAGTCTAAGGCCATGTAAGGTCCAGCTCTCTTCGGACTGTGCAGGTCGAACTCCTTAAGATCTATAAGTACGACAGAGGAACAGATTAGTGTGAACAGTGTGAACAAAATCAAATTGTTGCCAGAAATCCTGTGGCTTAATCAGCTACCTGGTAGTACTGCGTTGAGATATTCAAAAAACTGCCTGACGGTGGAGTCTCCATACATGTGGACCACCTTGCCTTTCAGACACGGACTGATGTCAGAGATGTTGAACTGGCGAACTGTGGGGCCATTTAATGATCGCCATGCACCCTGGTAGTAATAGCCAGAGGGTCCAGATGTCACAATGCTGCTTTTCAACTGTGGTTGATCTAAGAGGAAGTCAAAGGATATGGGTGGGTTTATTTTATGTCCATATTCAATGAAAAGACCAAAACCAAGGTTTCTCCCTCCCCTTGACTGCTTGGGGTGCCATTTAGGTCAGTGCCAAACAAAATTTTCGTCAGCTGGTGAGTCAGTAGTTTCAAGTTACTGCCCAAAGGACTCAAGAGGTATAGAGCATCATAAAACACAGCACTGATCTCAAGAACACATACCAAAAGCAAAATGCAAAGTATGAGCCAACAAATAGCAAAACACCACAACAGATAAAGTGTTGTAGTGGCCAACTTAAAACTTAACTTCAGAGCCACAAGTTATTAGCAGTAGACAGGTTTCAATGGGCTTGACTCGCATGTACCGTTTCAATTCCTTACTCACAAAGTCACAAAAAGAGTCAGGTCATCGTTTTGCACATTTATTTTCCATGTTGCTTTTCATCCAGGTTATATTTCCATCCACATAAATCCAAGCTTCTCTCAGATCCAACACATGAAAATATTCCTTGAGTGTTCCACAATATAGATGACGGATAATATACATCCCATAACAATAGCATAACGGTATCATAACAACAAACCTTGCACCACTGCTAACACGCGCTCTGACCTCAAACCTGCTCTCCTATATACCATGGTGTGCATACGCAGTGCATAATTCAGGCACTATGAAATAATGGGAAACTGGAAGTTTAACACAAAACTAAGGCCATTCAAGAAGCAGTGCCTCTCCAGAAACCCCAAAATCTAGTCTGGGTTTTCAATTCCAATAAATCCCCCAAACAAAATATTTTTACTTCCAGTACTACAGTCCACAATGTTTTGACAATCATAAAAACATTATTAGACCTACATCCACAGACCTCACTTATTGGTCTTTGAAACTGCAAGAAACAATGATGCTGCAAACAAGAACATGTGAAGACCTTTTTTTTTTAAATGTTAAAACGTGTATCTGCTAGCTGCTAATAACAGTGGCTTAAGTTAAAATTAATCTAAGCCTAGAGAAGGTTGTACAGTTGATGCATATTGTACACTGGTGCATGCAAATAGCAAATGCTCTCTCCACACTTTGATGAGGGAACACATTGTGAGCTTTTAAACAAACTAGTCCTAGAGATTTTATCCGATCAACTTCAAAAGCTGGTCTGTCCAATCGAAAGCACTCAACCATGAAAAGTTATTACAGGCTTGAGTTTTTTGTCAGTCCGTGTGACAGTGGCAAGGCGTCAAACTTAGGTGTTTTGCCACAAAACAAGAAGTAGTTTATTACTCCAGCATACATGGTCCAATCTTCCTCAAACTTCACAGGATTGATGACAGTCCGCCCTGAACACATCTACATCTCAGTGATTAATAATAGTTATAGGGCCTCCGACTGGTAACAGGAAATGACATGTTTTATACTTTGACGTACATCTCCCACAAAGTTGACCAGATCCACCTCAAATTATGGTGGACCTCAAAAAAGCCATAAGACCTTGATGAGTTTTCATCAAACAGCGTTGCCATGAGGGCAGGACGAAGGTTAATGTTTCGCCAAAACACAAAAATTGGCAGTGTACTTCGTTCAATCTGCCTGAAACTTCACACGCTCTGTAATAGTCTAGACCTGGACATGTGATATGAGTTTTGTCAATGGTTGTGGAAAAATGGCTTGGCCACACCCTTTAAAGAATGTTTCACCATAGTGCATGAAAATTGGTACACATGTATCGCACTCCGACACACAAAGAAGCCTCTGGACCCATGGTTCATACCCAAAAGGACATCAGCCATTTTGAATTTGTGGTCATTTTTGGCGTTAACTACATTTTATATTTTAACAAACTCCTCCTACAGATTTAGCCAGATTGCCTTCAAACTTGGTTTGCGTGAGCTTGACTACTTTGTGATCAAAAATACTACAAGATCTACCCCTCTGCAGAGCACTGAATTTTGATGTCTTGCCATGAAACACAAAATTGCTATTACTTTGAAGTAAATGGTCCGATCTGCACCAAACTTCACATGATTCATAATAGTCCTGCCCTGAACACATGTATATGACAATTTTCCATGATATTTGTTTATTTGCACATCTTGTAGTAGGATTATACAGTGGTCTCAAAAGAAAACATAAAGTGTGTGCTGGAGAGGTCGGAAACCCAATTGGGGTTATCTAGTGGACTCACCACTATTATGCAATTAGGTTATTAGAACATAAAAGATAATTAAGAAAAAAAGTATATGGATAATATGGACAAAATTAAAATAAGTCCTATGTAAAGAACACAGAATATAACAAGAAGAAATTGTTGAAAACACACAAAAAAACAGAACATAAGTAAGAGGGACAAAGTTAAGTTCATGTTGTAGTCATAGCGCCACTTACTGGCAACAGGAAATATGTCTTTTCAGACACTTATCTTTTGATTTACCTGAAATTTACATGCTGTGGTCTATATTTGATGTGCAAAGACATGATGTATTATTAGTGCATTCTATAGTGCCCTAATGTGGACTGAGGAAGTGGTACAACATGAAGGATATGCCATCTCACTCTTGCATGTGGTGACCGACCTTCACAGAAATGAGCTGTCACGTCAGCCAGCGTCCTGCCAGCCACCCTGAGTTGTGCAGAGGTGCGAGGGCCCCCTTCATCGCTGCTTGCAGCTTTAATCATTATTATTATTATCATCATTATTATTATTATTACAGGCAGTGATGGCAGTAGGAGAAATCATGCTTTACCTTTATTTTTTGGCAACACAGTGACACTGGGAGGTCCTGAAGCCCGAATTTCAACTCTCAAGTTGACACCCCTGAAGAAAAGCACACACAATAAAACATCAGTGTTTTGAATATTCAGTATCTTGCACACACTATGACATTTAACAACATAAAAACAAGACAGGAGGACAAAAATCTGAAATATTATTTTATTTCATTTTATCAAGTGAAAACAGCAAAGCTGCTAAAAATCTACTCTGTTAATTAAAGCTGCACTAATCAATATGTTTATGTAAACAATGGATTCAGTGAGCATGTGTGATGTGCAACTTGTCACTTGCATCATCTTCCAGCACACTGTTTTTCTGGTAGAGCAAGAGCTGCATGACCCTGACGCATGATTCACTTTATCATTTCAAGCAATTATGTATATCATATTGCCTACAATGGTCTAATTGTGCCTACTGTAGTTCACTTAAATTCAATAGTTCATCCTTATGATTATGATTGATAGCTGTTTTGGGGCCCCCTCCAGTACCCGATACCCTACACACAGCACATGATGTGCGGGTACATAGCGCTGCTTCTGATCAACCACCTCCTTCTAAACAACAGACAAAGCTTGCAGCTGGCTGGTGAAAATAGAAGAGCATCTTGAAGCTAAATCAGATCTCCCCTCAGGACTTAGTGGAGACCAAACTAGAGCTAAAAAGAGAATGAATATTGGACTCACATTTGACATTATACCACCTCCAAAGGAATGCTAATGTTGCTCCACATGGACTGGATGTAGACAGGGAACTGTTTGCTAACACGTTTATCATATCAATTTTATAAGGTGATAGTATGTCAATAGCTTTTTGTACTTCCTCCAAGTAGCAAAAAATAGTTGTAGTTAGTAACATGTTAAGGGTTCAGTCTTGCCAGGAGTTAAACTTCTGAAACACCCATAAAGGACATATACACTTGATGTACTGTATTAGAAGTCACATAAAATGTTAGTCCTGTCTTTCTGCTCCCTCACCTTTGAAAGAGCTTCGTCTCATTTCCCTTAATTATGTATTTGACTCCTCCCATGACGTGGTTGATCCTGGCATTGCAGCTCAGGTTCTTTGGCTTGTAGCAGAACCAAGGGTCGCCTGTAAGACGGTCAGTGAAGTTGCACAGCGGCTGCTGGGTTGGACGTAGGCAGATGTCACAGATGGTAATTTCAGAGAGTGAGCCTGAGCGGAAGAGGCTCTTGAAGAAAACCCTGTCGGGCTGTTCTCTGTTTATCCTGTTCAGCACTGTGATAGCCTCATTAGGGTGAACCAGCATCACCTGATTGGATAGAGAACCAGACTTTTCACTACGTCCAATTGCGTTCAGTCATATCAACAAAGACAAATTAAGTCGATACCGCTTAAAGCTCCACACTTTGACACATCTAAAAGATTTGCATCTACATAAACAAGATTGATCTTCAGATGACAGTCTCTGGAAAATGGTTCATTCACTAAACCCTGCCCCCAAATTCACTCTGGACACAACTACCTCTGACTGACAACCTCTCTTAGCTTTCTCAGTCTAACAAATAAACAACTCTTTTTAATGCCACAATGTAAACAAGAAAAAAAATGATAAAAGGAACAATGAACTTCCCTTTTGTTCAAGCAGGCTTGGTAATATGACTCAAAAGTGATACATTTTGTGAAAGTTGGTCTACTGCCATGATTTAACAGCAAACACTGACAATGAGCATTAATATGGTATGATAGCCTATGGTCTTTGTCATATTGTTTGCACTTGGACAGCCATTCTTCCTAACACAAATGAACAGTTACTGCCACTTCTGACCAACAGAGTTCCAACAGATTAGTGCTATACTCTGGCTCACGTGGTCTTAGCTCTTCGACTCAGGAGGTTCATGCTTCATGCTAAGTAGCTCACTGAACAAGTCTGTTGCGGAGTCACGACTCTCACTCGGTCACCGGTGTGTGCAGAATACAGGGCTAAACTTTATTCTCAGAGAGGTTCTTTAAATCAGAAGTTAAGCAGGCTCTAATGCACGACTGCGTATGCACCATTAGCAGGATTTTGCATTAACTTCCACTTGTGAAACAAGTTAACTGGTTCCTCTTTGAGAGTCATTTAAAAAAGGCCTCTCTCATAAATCTGACATCACTATCTGTCAAGCTTTGGATTTTTCCATAAGTTGAAGTGGTGTGCGTTAGGCTGTATTAAGAGAGATAGCTATTCTGCATTTAATGTTAGAGAGTGCTGTCTTTTTAGCCTTCCCAAAACCAAAAACACATAACGCTAATGACTATCTCATACTACATTATTTTGTCACGTTAACGACAAGCATACATACTGTGTAGTATTTCACCAATATGTGGGAGCCTTCTGGTTGCTATGACCCCAGCCCCGCTGGTTATGTAAGACAGCATTATATGCACCACACATATCAGCCAACCAGAATTATGTTGGGATGAAATATCAATTTGGTCTTATTTTTTCTATCATTTCTGTAACAGTAGGACTAACTCACTCTACATTACAGTACCAAAACAATGCTTTGTCTTTATGTTGACTGTTTGTCATGCAGCTTTAGCTTCCATCTTTCAGTCCAATATCATGTATGTAGCTGTTAGGTGCTCATTTAAAAACTCCCTTTACAGGCTTGTGTTTTAAAACAAGTCTACCGGTAACAACAAAATCTCAGCTCCATGAGTCGCTGTCTTCATCTAACTCATAGAGCTACTGAGCTAACTTAATTAGCTAACTATCTACAGTTCATAAGAGTGGCAGTAGCTCAGTCCATAGGGACGTGGGTTGGGAACCGGAGGGTCGCCGGTTCAAGTCCCTGTCCGGACCAAAATATGGAGCGTGGACTGGGGGCTGGATCAGTGCAAAAATAAAGTAAAATAAAAAACATATTGACGAGTAAATTTGATTAAAAAATAACAGCAAGCAAGGAGGATATTGCAACATTTGTGCAGGAACTTCACCACCATGTTCAACAGACTGGTGAGGGCGTTTGAAACCCGGTGAATGACGCAGCACAAGTTTGACTTGTGTACATGAAATATCTCCCCAATAACTGATTGGCGTTGCATAAAACCGTGGAGCAATGATTATTGTAAATGGGCTGGAAGAGCGCAGCCTCAGAAAATCTAGTGATCCAGCTCCAGGCGTTGAGACAAATCATAGTGCAAAATGAATTGCTCATCAAAAAGGGTGTCCATCGGGTTCTCCCTGGATGCCTTCAATTTCCTCATTAATTGCCATAGATTTTATTTTCAGGAAACCTTAACTCAGATTTACAGGAAAACCTTTACTTGAGCTGCTTTGTGCAACCAGCCATAGCTTTTTTCTAAAATGAAAATGTATCATTGTCTCTAAAATTAGGTTGCTAAATCTGCCACTGTTATCATTAAAAATGGCACATGTGCCATGCAAGACGTGAAAGTTAACAGGCAAAGCAACAGTAAATAGGGTGGGTGGAGCTTAGTGACCAATCATTTAGAAGACAGATAGAAAACACCATCAATACAACCACATTTAACATGACAGGCTTTAGCATCACCTCAACCTGCGCGTCTCCTTCCCAGGGTAAAGAGAACACAGCAGAGTAGCTCCCATTGAGATGATCCATCACATGCCCAGCTACACCTGCAACAAGCTTCATGTTGTGGAGCCGGGCGAGTAAGAGGTCCCCCCCATACTTCTTGGGACGACCATGGAAGTCAGACATTTCTATCATAACCTCCAGCTGATCCCCTACTTGCCACTGTCCTCCTCCCCTCCTTGGGAGAATGGTGAAGGTGCTGTGAGCTGGATCACTGGTATTCTCCAGGGAAACAGGAGCTCGCAAAAGTGGAGTTTCAGGCCAAGCAATGGAGTCTAGTAGGAGGCGTTCCTCCAGAGCGTCCTCACCGGAGAGTGGCTGGAAGGTGCAGAAGCTGTGATTCACATCTGGGTCAGTGGAAATGTTTGTGGCGTTGGTGGTGGAGTGTATTTTATGCTGAAACTGCTGGGGGGTCAAGAGAGAGATGGTGACAAAAATTAATCAAACAAATGCACTAAAAGCAAATTAACTAAACAAACCGGCATCTTTACCTGGTTCCTATCCTCCACACTTAGACTTGTGCTCATTGTGCCGATGGTGGCTTGGAAAAACCCCCCTAACTGTGTCACACAGGCAGAAGAGAAGGCGGCTCCAGCTCGGCCTCTTTCCCCCTGTTCACCCTTCTCCCCATCTCCACACTTAGACTTTTTTTTCACCATGCCGACAGTGGAGCTTATATCCATTGTGCCGATGGTGGCTTGGAAAACCGCCCCTAGCTATGTCACACGGGCAGAAGGGAAAGCGGCCGGAGCTCACCTGGTCCCCTTCTCCACACTTTGACTTATTTTATCCTACTTGGTTCTATTTCTCCCTCTCTGGGAGCCTGAGCTCACCGCGCAGCAGCCCACTGCATCCATCCATCCACCCCTCCCTCCCTTCCTCCCTCGTCGACAGAATGGCTTTATAGTAAGGGGAGGAGTAAAGGGAGGAGGGCAGGCTTTAGCGTGGACGGTTAGTGACGTCATTTGCCTCAAAAAAGAATCATTCGCCTCCAATGTAATGTAATGTAAATTCAAATGTAGTAACCAGGTTTCAAGCTGTAGAGGGCACTCCATACCACATTTTTAAAATAAAATGTAGATTTTCAACAGTTTGCACTAAACTGTCAAGATTTTGAGCAGGATCAGTCACTAACACTACTATACAACCAGAAACAATGATTATCAGCTGAAAAAAATGGTTTTAGGGTTTAGTTACTTTTTAAGGGTTCTCACCTCCAGGACCTCCACGTTACGTAGCCCAAAGATTAAGGCAGCCACAGCCAGAAAGAGGAAGATGACACTGAACTCCCTTCTTGTACAAGCTCTAACCTTCATGATAGTCTTCAGCTATGGCTGCAGCACTACGACCACTTCCTCTGGCACTGGATCAAAAATAAACAAAAAACAACAACAGGGTAACAACACCTTTGATGCTACAGAATATTACTGCTATTGTTACTAAAAGCAAAGAAAGAAAAATGCATATACCTGCTGGCAACCACAAGTACCATGTCAAAAGGTGTACAATGTATCCTCAATGTAACAGTTTGCTTCTATCCCTCACCTGCTCCTGGTAAATTTCCATTCACCTGCACAGGGCTCACTTACATCAGAGTAATGAACCCAACTACTACTGACCTCCACGTCCCAAGTGAAACTGGGCTATGAGACTTTCACCCGCTAGGTGATAATGAGGACAACTATTCCATAGTGGAAGCTAAAGGAAGCCACTCAACAGAAGTTTCCAGATGTTTTTGTGCCCACCGCAATCAGACTGTACAACAGCGGTTTGGCTTAGCTACATCTAGCTCTGAACAGACCCATCTTGCATTTGTCCAATAATGACACTTTATCTGCCACCTGTCACTTTATTCCATTCAACACTTTGTCTGCCATTTTTAGTCACTTTATTCATCTGATGTAGCAATTTTATTTTATCTTTTATGTATCTATTATCATTAATCATATTCTGTCCTTTTGATTTTGTCTTGTGCTGCTGTGATACTTGAATTTCCCCCCTGGGGATCAATAAAGTATATGTTATCTTATGTTAATCTCAGTCAGGAAGCACTTTCTGTCGAACAGAGACAAAAACTTGAAGCTTTGCTGCTGACTTACAGTGATGTTTTTAGAGCTCATGACCAAGACTATGGACGCACTAACATTGTACAACACAGCATAAACACAGCAGATGCTTGTCCCATCAAACAGAGCGCATACAGAACCCCCCCAACATCAGAGAAGAGATAGACGGGTCCAGTAGCTGGCAAAGATGGCAGCTACAGATTCTGCATAGATTACCAAAAGCTGAATGCAAACACCATCAAAGACTGATACCCCCTGCCACGCCCTGCAGATGCTCTTTACAGCCTATCAGGTGCATGCTGGCGCCGCACGATGGACTTATTAAGTGGATATTGGCAGGTTGAGCTTCAGCCACAGGACAAGGAGAAAACAGCATTCATCACTGGCAGTGCTTTCTACCACTTCAAGGTTATGCCCATGGGATTGATCAACGCCCCACCAACATTACAACAGTTGATGAAGCTGGTGCTACATGGCCTGCACTGGAAGGACTGGTTGATTCACCTAGATGATGTCCTTGTGTTCAGCTGGTCTTTTTCAGACCAACTAAAGAAAAAAGGAAGAGGTGTGCCAGAAAGTGCCAGCTAGCTCAAACTCAAGTGACTTTCCTCAGACACGTGGTCTCCAACCATGGACTCTAAACAGATGCAAGGAGCACTGAAAAGGTGCATGGATGGCCTAGACGCTCTCACTCACCCACCGATCATGACAAATCCAATCTTCATACAGCCATTCTTGCTGTACACTGATGCTTCACAGGATGGCATTGGCTCTTTGTCAAGACAACAAAGAACGTGTTATTGCCTATATGAGCCACACACCTAGGCCTCCTGAAAGAAAATGGTCTACCTTTGGCCATAAGCTCTGGGCAGTTGTTTGGTTGGGGAGCGGGGGCGTTACCAGGGGGGGGCAGGGGTGGGCAGTGCCCACCCACGGACACGCTCTGCCCACCCAAGGAAAACTGGATGTAGTACTGACGGCAGTCTGGGCACCGCGTATGGTATCCCATTCATATAGTACTGTGATGTCAGCGGACACTGCCGTGGACTCTCCCGCGTCCTACAGCACACACTGTCAGCTCAGTCCCCACGGAGCAGCCCCTCCCAGCAGGGAGATGTTAACCCCTCGGCGTCCAGGGTGCGAATGAATCGCGCATGTGCCAAAGCGCAACTCGCAGACACCGTCAGTAGTTCAGACAGTACTTGACGTTTGTCCTGCTGCTCTTCATTTATTACTCGTCTGCCTCGCCATCTAGTTTCAGTCACGTCAGCGATCTATTTGCCCTAGCACTACCACCGTCTCCTACTTTTGCCTCTCGTACCGGACTATTATCATTCATCTCACTCATCTTGTACTTTTTGTCTGTCATCTGTGTGTCGTGTCCTCTGTTGTGTGTTGTGCTACGTGTTAGCAAGACTTAGCAGTTACCTGCCTTTGGCGGGTAGCTCCTCTCAGTCAAATAAGCACATACTGCCAGAAAGAGAGATGCATAGGTGGCTCATAAAGAAGCAAGCAGCTTCCACGCCCGCTAACTCCCCCTCTACCACCTCCGCGAACACCGAGCAGGGCTCAGTATCGTTGCCGGGGTCTGCAGGTGATGTGCGGCCGGCAGACGCATCATGTCCCGGTGGCAGCTCTGCCCCTCTGCCGGCGGCGTCTGAAAGCGTCCCTCCTGTTCTTCCCGTCCAGTCCTCTGACTCTGGCCCTGCTGTGTGTGCTCCTCCAGACTTAAACTTGGATCGCCCATCACAACCTATTCTGAATACGTACCCCAGACGGCCGTTTGGGAAAACATTAAGGTGCTTTAATGCAGCCTGGTACCAAACCCGACCATGGCTGGAATACTCTGTGATGCGCGATGCCAGTTTTTGTTTTGCTTGTCGCAAATTTAGCTCCAATAAAGACCGCGAGGACATATTTACCATGCGTGGATACACCAATTGGAAAAAAGCACTTGAAAAAGACGGAGGCTTTTTCAAACATGCATCAGGCACCGCACATACCAGAGCTATGATGGCATGGCAGGAGCATAAGCAGCGGTCAGAGACTGGTGACACTATTGCGCATCTGCTGGGTCAAACCCAAGTTGAAAAGAACAGGTACTATGTGAAAAGCATGGGTGAAGTCATTCAGTTTCTCACAATTAATGAGTTTGCTCTGCGTGGGCACTATCATGAGGGTGGGGATGAGGAGGGACTGGTGAATAAGCTCTTTGATTATACACTGAAAAAAGATCCCAAACTTGCTGACATCACAAAATGCATCCCTGATAACGCCAAATACACATCAAATGTCATTCAAAATGAAATAATTGCAACATTGGCAAAAATGGTGTTGGATGATATCAGGACCAGATATGAAAACTCTGACTCTCCAGGGTTCTGTATCAAAAGTGACGGCACCAGGGACCGCTGCAACATTGAACATTTATCCATTGTGGTAAGATTTGTCCGTGACTCTATCCCAGAAGAGCACCTGATCGGCTTGGTGGAACTGGGTCAGCTTGATGCTGAATATGTGAGCACCCAACTGCTCTCTCATCTTTCTGACCTGTCATATAATGCTGATAACATAGTGTCTCAATGCTATGATGGTGCTGCGGTCATGTCTGGAGTGAGGGGTGGGGTGCAGGCCCTCCTTCAACAAAAGCTTAGCAGGGACATTCCTTATGTTCACTGCTTCAATCACCAGCTGCATTTGGCAGTTATTCATGCAATGCAAGCTGAGCCTTCAGCTAAGAGGTTTTTTGATTGGTCCAGCTCACTGAAAGCATTTTGTCATAAACATTATGTTACACACACATACAATGCACCAACACTGAAAAGATTGCTGGAAATTCGCTGGACCAGTCACTATGAGGTCACTAAGTCCATTGTGAACAACGAGGACATCATCAGGAGACTCCTGTCTGAAGTGGCAGAGGATGACACTGCACCCTTGGACATTTGTACAGAGGCAAGTGGTCTCCTGGCCCAGCTTGAGAGGCAGAGCTTCTTTGCAACTGCAAAATTCCTCCTTCATGTGCTTGGTGCACTGACATCAGCAAACTCAATCCTACAGTCACAAACTGTGGATCTGTGCACTGCATGTGAGGTTGTGACAGCTTCACTGGGCACATTGAAGGAGATGAGAAGTGATTCCTTCTGGGAGGAGCATTTCTCTCAGTGTGGAAGTACCAATCCACCTAAAAGGAGACGGATAGTTAGCTCACAGCTTGATGGTGCCATAGTCTCATCCACATTAGGACATGGCGGAGCTGATGCTCAAACTCACCCTAACCTGGCCTTTAAAAGGGCAATGTTCAACATTCTGGACAGGGCCATTGTTGAGATGGAGACAAGATTCTCTCAAAAGAATGTTGACTTAATGAAAGCCACATCCTCTCTCCTTCCTAAGACAGCCGCTTTCCTTGACCCCCACCTCCTGAAGCCACTTCAGGTGCTTGCACGCACAGAGCAAAGTAGCCTGAGCCTGCAAAATGAAATTGTGGTTGCAAGACCAATGTTAATGGATAAACTGCCAACTGATGTGAACCTCTCTGAAGCTTGCAAATGCATTCAGCAGTACAAAGATGCATTTCCCATCCTGCACAGATTGTACGTCACTGCACTAATCATTGGTGTGTCTTCAGCTGCATGTGAAAGCTCTTTTTCAACATTAACCCGCATTCTCACTCCTCTCCGCAGAACAATGCTGCATTCACGGAAGAGAGATTTAGTCATTTTGGCCCATGAGAAAGAAATTACAAGGAATCTTGACATGAATAGATTTGTGACAGAATTTGCCAAGAGCAGCCGCAGACTTGTCCTGTAGATGGTGTCTGGGATAACAAGGATATCCCAGAGGATAAGGATAACCTAACCTGTGCCTTATTACCTGCACATCTTATTGTGTTCTAAGTTAACCTTTGTTTGTCACCTGCATGTCTGTACTGTTCAGTTATGGATATGTTCTAAGTTTTAACCTTTGTTTGTGTTGTTACCTCCTCTTTCACCTTAAAAAAAAACAAAACAAAAACAAAAAAAAAAACATTGTCACCTGCATGTCCATACTGTTCAGTTATGGATGTGTTCTAAGTTTTAACCTTTGTTTGTGCTGTTACCTCCTCTTTCACCTTAAAAAAAAAACCAAAACAAAAACAAAAAAAAAACATTGTCCATACTGTTCAGTTAAGGATGTGTTCTAAGTCAAATAAAATCAAATCAACTTTTATTTGTTTAGCCCAAATCACAACAACAGTTATCTCAATTAAGGAGAAAACAAAACATGTTTTAAGGTGCAGTAACCCTACGCTGGA